AAAAAATACGATAATGACATATTTTATCATTACAATATTTTTGAAATAATTTTTTTCAAATTATTAGCATGATTTTTTTTCTCAAAAATTTAAATCATTTCATTAAAAAAAAAAAAAAAAAAATGCAAAATTATTTTTTTTAACTCATTTTTAGGGTTGGTTACATACTGGTGATATTGGAATGTGGTTACCAAATGGTTCATTACGTATCATTGATCGGAAAAATAATTTATTTAAATTAGCACAAGCTGATTTTGTATCACCTGAACAAATTGAAAATATCTATTTGCAACATCCTTTAGTAAAACAGGTAAGATTAGTAAAAGATGGAAAGATTTATGAAGAAAATGGATGATAAAAAAGAAAAAATAAAAAAAAAATAAAAGAAAATGGAAAGGATATTTAAGGTAAGAAACTTTTTTTTTCTTTTTATAAAATTCCTATAAAATTAATGGAAAAATTTATTCAATAAATAAATAAATAGATGAAATATATGCGAACAAAATTTTTTTTTTCATAGTATTTCTATAAAATCGAAAAAAAAATTATTCATTCCGTTTAAAATAAAATTGTTACTTTATTGTAACTTATAAATTACTTTATTATCATTTATAAATTATCATTTATAAATTTATTACTTATAAAATTCCATAGTTTATGAAATATTCAAAAAATAAAAAAGAAACTCATCAATTTCTCTTCTAGATTTCTGAATTTCTTTTTTTTTTTTTTTCTGGAAGAATTCCTTTTGTTGTTGATTGAAAAAAAAAAAAAATGTCCAAATTAATTATCATATCATATCATTCATTTTAGATTTTCATTTATGGCTCAACCTTGCATGAATATTTAATAGCTATTGCTGTTGTTGATGTTGAAAAACTTTGCGCTGATATTCAAAAATTAACCAAAAAGGTAATTTTGTTGAAGTTTAAAAAAAAAAAAAAAAAAAACTTCGAAATTTCGCTTTTATATTCGCTTCAAGAATATATTTATCCATCATATAGTTTTAATTAAGCTTCTTGAATAAGCAAAACGAAGTTTATACGAAAAAAAAACCAAACCCGAAAAAAATTAAGAGAAAGGAAAATT